ATGATGGCTACTCCATTTCTTCTAAGGGATTCTTGCCCACAGTAGTAGATATAATGGTCATCTGAGTTAAATTCACCCAGTCCAGTCCATTTTAGTTTGCCAATTCCTAGAATGTCGACATTCACTCTTGCAACCTCCTGTTTGACCACTTCCAATTTGCCTTGATTCATGGACCTAACATTCCAGGTTCCCATGCAATATTGCTCTTTACAGCATCGGACCTTGATTCCATCACCAGTCCCATCCACAGCTGGGTATTGTTTTGCTTTGGCTCCATCCCTTCATTCTTTCTGGAGTTATTTCTCCACTGATCTCCAGGAGCATATTGGGCACCTACCAACCTGGGGAGTTCCTCTTTCAGTGTCCTATCATTTTGCCTTCACATACTGTTCATGGGGTTCTCAAGGCAAGGATACTGAAGTGGTTTGCCATTCCCTTCTCCAGTGGACCACATTCTGTCAGACCTCTCCACCATGACCCAACCGTCTTGGGTGGCCCCACACGGCATGGTTTAGTTTCATTGAGTTAGACAAGATGGTAAAAGTGATTATTTACAACCTTCTCTCTTTGATATGGATCGCCTTATGTTTCCTTGATAATTTGTAAGTCCAGACTTTTGATTTTTATCTTTCCTGAAAATAGCTACCTTGTAAGACAGTATATATACCCACACTATGTTGAATAAAACACCTTCGCTCCATCAGAGCTTTCTTTCCTTCTCTCTCTCTCAGGCTAATTCTTTGGAGCACAGAAGCCCGCTGAGCTCACTTTCTTGCCCGGGCTTCTAAGACCCTCTCGAGAAGGCACACTGTGCCTTCACCCCTGGAGAGGGCACCTGGTGCCTACATGAAGCAGTGCAAGCTCTGTGTCAAGAGCTTTACTGGTTTTCTGTGTAATCCAAAGAATATCAGCCTCTTTCTCTCTCTTTTACTTTCTTATCATCGACTCCAGACCACCAGGTTCCAGTCTATTAAAGGACCGCAACAAAACATAACTGCGTAACAGAAAAAATGCCAACTAGAAATACAATACTAGAAATGTTTGGGACTTCACTGGTAGTCTAGTGGTTACCACTGCAATCTTTTTTTGTTTTTTACGACTGCACTCTTTCATTGCAGGAGGCATGGGTTTGATCCCTGGTCAGGAAACTAAGATCCCACATGATGGTGTGGGAAAAAAAAAATTGTGTTTGGCAAGGTTACTGAACACAAAAATTAACAAAAATCAGTTTGATTTCTAAATACCAGCAAAAAATAAAAACAAAAGATATTTACAGTGGCATAAAAAATGCAAACTATCTATGAAAAAAAGCTTTAAAAAATACATGTAAATCCACTATGTGAAAAAGTACAAAACTTAAGATAATAAAGGCCAAAATAGATAGTATCATGTTCAAGGACTGGGGGGCTCTGTATGATAAAATGTACTTTTTCCCCAAAGTGATCTTATAGATTCAATGAGATTCAAATAAAAATTCACAAAAGTTTTCATGAAACTTAACAAGCTTATTCTAAAAGTTTTATGAAAGTACAAAGGTTACAAATAACCATGACAATTCTTCAGAATAAAGCTATGTATGAGGTACGCAGAAGATAATACAGAACAACAGCTTTAAAATACTTTTCCCCATTATGATGTCAAAAATTAACAATAAAAAGAATACATAAAGGAAAAAAGATTAACTAAACACATTGAAGTTAATTTTTATTCATCAAAAAGTACCATGAAGAATGGGAAAGGACAGTTACATCCCAGAGAAGATATTTGCAAATATTTAACCAGTAAGAATTAGTACTCAGAATATGTGAAGAATTCTTATGAATTTATAATAATGGGCAAAAAGACTGGAAATGAAAATTATAACTACAATTCATGCCTAAAGCCCACTAGATTAGCAAGAATTAAAAAGTTTGACATAATTAAGTATTGCCAGGAATGCAAAGTGAATCTCTTACAGTGCTGGAAGTGGTCCACTTTGGGAAGTAAGTTGAATATACACACAACTGGTGACTTAGCATCATTACTCCTAGAGAAGTTCTCAAATGCTCGTAAGAGATACACACAGCAGTATTCATGGCAACACTGCTTGTGACAGCCAAAGCAAATAAGGAAACAAACAACATAAAAAAACGAGTGATCCAAATATCTATCAAGAGTAGAAAGAATACTGCAGTGTATTCATTTAGTGGAATCCTAATCAGTAATTAAAATGAATTAACTTTGAGATTAACATGAATGAACAAAAAAAACACCACTGACTGTTAGAGAATATATGATGAAATAATACACATATTAATTCAAAACAGGCAAAATAGTCTATTGTGTAGATATACATACATAGTTGGGAAAACAGTGAAGAAAAATAAGTGAAAAATTATCACAAAAATCATCAGGATAGTGACTAATATGGACAGAGTGAGGGTATGTGATTAAGAAAGTGCACACAGAGGCCTTTCATCAACAAAGTTTGAGATTCTAATCTGAATAGCTGCTATACTGGTGTTGGCGTCACTATTCTTTAAAGTACACAGTTATATGTCATGCAATTTTCTGTATTTGATACATTTCAACAGAAAGAAATTAGCTTATCACATTTTGATTTAACTTTTGGTAATAAAATACTTTATTGGTACCTTTTACTATCAAAAACATAGTAAAGTTTCCATTGCTTAGCTTCCATATTTAAATTAAAAGCTTGTTTTTTAAAAAAGAAAAAATTCATTTGGTTCTGTCAAAAAACAAACTACAACTCACTTCTGTAAATAATTAGGTTCTCTCACTTTAAATATCTTAATTCACTGGTCTTTACAATAAATAACTGTATATAAAAGGAGACAATGACCTGAACAATTTTGCAGAGAACATTTTACACATCTTAAAAAACCAAGTCTAAAAGGAATCCCAACTTAATACTTAAAAGAACAGTAAGAGTTACTGTAAAATTGAATTCATGTAGCACCAAGAAATTTGGGACTTATAATTTTCAGATGATATGATATACGGAGCAAAAAGAATAATGATTTGTCTTCCATGAATTTTCAGAGGTTTATATACAATAGAAAGAATTCCTTATAGGTCCCTTTGAAAAGCCAAAGGTTCAAAAATCTATGCATGCCTTTCACCACATCTCCAATTTGTGGATATAGCGCTTGACCCTATGGCAAAAGATCCATGTGTGATAAACAGCACAGTACAGTCCTATCTGAATGTAACTGCTTCCTCATCTTGTCTCATTAATATAATTTATACCTCAATTAAAACATCATTCTATCTGCAAGTTATATATTCCCTAAAATACTCTATAATTCAGATTTCCATTTAGACAATGTTCTGCTCTGCCCCTTTCCTTGAATCAGTATGATCTTACGGCATACCTCATTAAATTGCTTGGTTTTTCTCCCCTCAACTCAAAGTATTATAATAATGTAAATACAGATGTAGCATAATTAACATAGAAGACAAAAAGGATAAAACAAACATATGGATCCATGCTAAATGAGACAACACAAAGCAAAAAACACACAACACTATGCTATGTTCATCTATTCTGAGCCACAAGGAGGCCCTGCTAGAGCCTTGGCTCATGTAAACTGATGCTCCCAGACACCCCTAGTGTCCTGTATTCCAGCATAACTAACTGTTACGTTTAAGGTGTTTCCATATTTATTTGTTCAGAACAGCCTACAGCAACTCTGACTCCTAATCCTGAACATGATGATAAATTAATAACACATTATATTTTTGATCAAGTGATAGATTCTATCCTTAGTATTTTCTACTATTACCCATTTGTTTAAAAATAGACATTCAGGGGGCTAGGCAACACAAAGCTGAGGAATTTTTATCTCTGCCTGCTCTTCATTAGTTGGGAATTTTAGATATGTCATTTAGTTACCCTCTGCTTCAGTGAAAATGGATTCTTTAAGCAAATGACCAAAGATCTTCATATAAAACCAAGCAGGTTGACTCAGTGGTCAGCAGGTGAAGAACCCTTGTTGACACACTCCATCCATAACACTCCATCCTCTCTAAAGGAATAGGATGCTCCAACCTACCTTGAGCACAACACATTTCACCCCTCAGCCCAGATGCAACCAGGATACACATCAGAACATGAAGCCAGGTAGAACTTAACTCAAGACTACTCTCAGAACAAATACCAGATTTTGATTTGTCAATGATCCATAGTGAGGTATGTTCAGAAAAAGAGACTCTGCATTGCAACACTGCTTTTTCTTCTCACACCAAGTTAAACTGCTGAAGTAACATCAGCAAGAACACAAAAGCATGTCTTCCTGAAAGAGGCACTGCATCTAGAATTGGAATTAAGGCTAAACAAATAGTCCTGGTTTGTGGTTCAGATAATGTGTCAATGATTACATTAACCAACAGCTTCGCTATTTGTCCTGTATGCCTGTTTGTGAAGATGCGTCTCTATCTCCTCCCTGAAGACCAGCATTCCCAGGTGAGAGTGAGAGGCCTCGTTCATGGCTTTGGACTGGATGCACATGCGGTACTGCTCAGGGGTCAGCTCGTCAGCACAGCGCTTCTCATGCCAGAGGTGGAAAAGACCAGGAACCGGAGTCCGGATCACAATCAGGTCACTGTGTAAGTACTTTCGATACAGATGAACATCTTCTCCACCCCAACCTTTTACTTCCATATCAAATCCACCTGCAGGATCAAAACTCATACTATTAAATAGCTGCCTGGCAGAGCAGAGTCAAACCTGATAAAGATTTAAACATTCTGCCTCAAATAAGATGACATGTACAATCTAAAGATACCTGAAGTAGAGGACTGACATCCTGGCTTAGAAATACAGTTACCAGCTGATAGCTGGAAGGTCAAGGGTCTGTTGTTGAGTATCAAAATAAGACTAAATATTTGAGAATACTTTGCCAACTTCAGTTTTATAGAAAATTTCTAGAAAGTCAAATAAAGGAGAAGGAAACCTAAATCACTCACAATATCACCACCATTAGTGTTTTATGGTGTTTTTCTTCTATCCTTTGAGATCCAAATTTTTCTGGGTCACAGAAAATTTTCCAGAGGGGAAAACACAAGAAATGGGCCAAGTGGGACACATAAAATTGAGAATGGACACACAGATGATTTAAAGCCACATTAGTAGGTGAAATTACTAAGAAAGTTTATAAGGAAAACAGGGCCCAGGTCTAACTGCTAAGAAATGCCAAGTATCTGGAGGGCAAACAGGCAGAGAAAGTTAGCAAAAGAGACTGAGGCAGCCCCAGAGGAAGAAGAGAATTCTGGAGAATGTGTCATCACAGCAGTCAAGTGAGGAAAGCATCCTAAGGAAGAAATGGTCATGTGCTGCTCAATTAAACAGAATCAAGTAGATTTGGCAATGTTAAATGTCACTTACAGCCTTACCTAGAGCATAGGAGATCAAGTTCATACTATTTTTAAGTTGATTTAGGCTGAACTAACTGTAGAGAAGCATGGAGAATACAAACTATTTTGGGTTTTTTGAAGAGTTAGAAAGGATTCAGAAAGATGGAGAAAAAAATTAATTCTGTTATTAAAATCTAGGTTTCCAAATGATGTCTTTTATCAAATAATTCCATGTCACTTAATTTCATACTTACAGGATGACAAGAATCCTGAGATCTCCGAAAAGTATTATTTTAAATAATCACAGCTTTACTAAATGCTATGTTTGGTATATCTTGGCTTTTCTTACTTGTAGATACGAATAAGTTCCTCAAATATTACAGATGGTGTAGACAGTGAAAATAAATAGAGGACTTCCCATTTCTGTCCAACATGTACAGACAGACCTTCATTCCATCCTTCCAACAAATAAAAAGTTGAACAAACTGAAAACTCAACTCTCCTCAGATCCCTCAGAGAAATTCACAGGGCAAACTGCTCTTCCCTAAACTGAAGAGACAGACTAGGTGTGTAAGACAGAATCACAACTATTAATGTTAGAGAAGAAACAGACTAGAAGAAATCTCCAGGGGAACCAGTACAGGGGCAGGAAAGTCTGAGTTGATGAACTGCTAGAGGCTCAGTGGAAAAATCTAAGAATTGAAAACTCCAGAGGGGCCCATACACTTTTGTGAGTTTAGCTCTAGGTTTACCAGGTTCTCACAATGAAGACTGTAGAAAAATCCTGCAGTGCTTTCACGAGTGGGAAAGTAACCATACTGAAATATGCCAGGGTGTTTTTTGTTCCTAACAAGGTCTACCCTCAGGAAAAACTATCCTACCAGAGCCTAACCTATCTGGGGGAAAGGATATAGCCAACTAGTCCACTCTAGCCATCCTGTCCTACGTAAGATTGGGGGCAGTGTCTGAGAAATGACTGCAAAATTCATGGTCCAGATTCACAGGATCGCTAAAGAAAGGACTGAGACCTTATCATAGGACTATAGAACACTTTCTCATCTCCCATGCCTTATCATCACATCACTGAAGGCCTATTTACTTCAGTCTTCTTTACCCAGTACATCATGTTCAGCTACAAAAAAAAAATCATGCAAACTGAAGGTCAAAAAAGATTGACGAGAAAGAGGAACATCAGAACCAGACTCAGATATGGCAGGGATGTTGGAACTATAGGACTGTGGATTTAAAACAACTATGATTAATACACTAAGGGCTGTAATGGAAAAAGACAAAATGCAAGAACTGATGGGCAATGAAGCAGAGATAGATTCTAAGAATGAATCAAAAGAAATGTTAAAGATAAAAAGCAGTAACGAAAGGAAGAATGCCTTTGCAGGGCTCACTAGTAGACTGGACTTGGCTGAGCAAAGATCTCTAAACTTGAGGACACATGAATAGAAACTTCCAAGACTGAAACGAAAGAGAAAGAAGATTGGAGGTGGGGGGAAAAAAGAAAAAAACAGAACAGAACATCCAAGAACTATGGGACAACTACCAAAGGTATAACGTTTGTATAATGGGACAGCCAGAAGGAAAGAGGGAAGGAATACAAGCTCCAAATGAAAGAGGTGAAATTGCAAACAAGTGCTGCTGAGTGAGGGGCTCCCTGTCTTCCCCAGCCCACATTCACAGGATAGAGGCTCTTCACGAGGGAGAGGGAGTTGGTGATGGACAGGGAGGCCTGGCATGCTGTAGTCCATGGGGTTGCAAAGAGTTGAACATGACAGAGCAACTGAACTGAACTGAAGAGGGAGAGGGGCCTTTCAGCTCCCACCTAATGTTCTGATCAGAAGGCAGAGGTGTCCCTCTGAGAAAACTGTGTCACCATCTCCACCCCCAGGTCTCGAGCAGAGACTCAGAGCTTTTTAGGGGAAGAGGCAGTCCATAAGAACAAACACACCAGAGCTCTTCCCAAAGGAACTGACTTTATCTGAAAGAAAGTGTACAGAAATTAAGGCCTAAAGGGGCTCCTGTAAATATTGGAGATTTGGTGATGAACAATTAAGAGGCGCTGGTAACCATTAGGGCAAGCTAAAATGTAGGCCACCCAGTTTACCAGAGAGGAAGGAAGAGAAACACTTAAGAGCCATCCTGGGGTCCAAACAAACCTCAAAAACTTGCCTCCAAAACTACCCTACAAAAGGGTTTAAGGGCTTCTCTGGTGGCTCAGATGGTAAAGAAACTGCCTGCAATGAAGACCTGGCTTCGATTCCTGGGTCAGGAAGATACCCTGGAGGACAGAATGGCAACCCACTCCAGTATTCTTGCCTGGAGAATTCCATGGACGGAGGAGACTGGTGAGCTACATACAGTCCATGGGGTTGCAGAGAGTCAGACACTTAGCTGAGGGACTAACACTTTCAAAAGGGTTTAGTTTAATTCATTCAGACTGTGGAGCAATCTATGTCCCAGAGCACTGTCCTGTGAGCAAATTAATGCAGCCTAATAACTGGGCGTGACACCAGCAGAGGCATGGGAGGAGACAGTGAAAAAGATATCCACTCAATCCAATGTCATCCCCGGATGACTGTACACATACCCTGATGAGTGACGTGAGAACTGACATGAGATGGAGGATGGGGAGCCATAATTCACTGAAATAGTAAAGCCGAGTCAATCAATAAACAAGTAAAGTGGAATTGGAGTTGCTCAGTCGTGTCCTACTCTTTGCGATCCCATGGATTGTAGCCTACCAGGCTCCTCCGTCCATGGGATTTTCCAGGCAAGAATACTGGAGTGGGCTGCCATTTCCTTCTCCAGGGGATCTTCCCGACCCAGGGATCGAACCACTGTATCCCACATTATAGACAGACGCTTTACTGTCTGAGCCACCGGGGTGGGGTCAATAAACAAGTAAAGGTAAAACAAAATATAAGCCCTGGGGGCAGGGGAAATTAATATCTAGAATCAACACAATATATAACTTAAAATGTCTCATTTTCAAAAAAGAAAGGTATTGAAAGAAATAAAACTGTGACCTATATATCAAAAGAGAAGCAGGCAACAGAAACTGCCTATGAGAGGGACCAGATGTCAGTTTTAGCAAAGATTTCAAGACAATCATGATAAATATGTTCAAAGAATTAAGAGAAACCATGCTTAAAGAAGTAACAGAAAAATGACAATGTCTCATCAAGTACAGAACATTATAACGAGATGGAAATCATATATTTTTAATAAGAGAAATTCTGGAGTTAAAAAGCACCATAACTCAAATGAAAAATTCACTAGCGCAACTCAACAAGTAGATATGAACTAACAAAAGAATCAGAGAACCTGAAGACAGATCAATTGAGATTATGTTACACGAAAGACAAGAGGAAATGGATGAAGAAAAATGAACATGTCTCAGAGAAATGTGGAACACCATTAACTGCTCCAATATACACCTGATAGGAATATGAGGGGGGAAAAGAGAAAGGAGCAGTGAGAAATAACAGAGGTCAGAAGGCGATAATGGATCCTTACTATTTTATTAAGCAAGAAATCAGGGGGAAAATGTATTAGTTTTACTTAATAGTCTTTTTATTACTATTTGCTGATCTTCCATCATTTGTTACAGAGATGAAAAGGTGGAGGAATTTCCAAAGCAAATGGTTGACTATAAAAATGAAGGTAAAATGGATGTATATATATTCTATTAAAAATACATCAGCTTCTCAGAGCAAAATTCAGGCTTAAACTTAAGAAAGCAGGGAAAACCACCAGGCCAACCAGATACAATTTATATCAAATCCCCTATGCATATATAGTGGAAGTGACAGATAGATTCAAGGGATTAGATCTAGTAAACAGAGTGCCTGAAGAACTATGGATATTGCACACTGCCTCTGTAATATTGCACAGGAGGCAGTGAACAAAACCATCCCAAAGAAAAAGAAAAGCAAGAAGGCAAAGTGGTTGTCTAAGGAGGCTTTACAAATAGCTGAAGGAGAGAAGTGAAAAGCAAGGAAGAAAGGGAAAGGTACACCCAACTAAAAGTAGAGTTCCAGAGAAAAGCAAGGAGAGACAAGAAGGCCTTCTTCAATGAACAATGCAAAGAAATAGAGGAAAACAAGAGAAGGGAAAAGACTAGAGATCTTGTCAAGAAAACTGGAAATATCAAAGGAACATTTCATCCAAAGATGGGAACAATAAAGGACAGAAACAGTAAAGACCTAATAGAAGTAGAAGAGACCAAAAAGAGATAGAAAGAATACACAGAATCACTGTATAAAAAAGATCTTAATGACATCAATAACCATGATGGTGTGGCCACACACCCAGAGTCAGACATTCTGGAGTGTGAAGTCAAGTAGGCCTTAGGAAGCACAGCTGTCAATAAAGCTAGTGCAGGTGATGGAATTCCAGCAGACCTATTTAAAATCCTAAATGATGCTATCAAAGTGCTGCACTCAATATGTCAGCAAATTTGGAAAACCCAGCAGTGGCCACAGGATTGGAAAAGGTCAGTTCTCACCCCAATTCCAAGAAGGGCAGTACTAAAGATTGTTCAGACCACCGGACAACTGCATTCATATCCTATGCTAGTAAGGTCATGCTCAAAATCCTTCAAGCTAGGCTTTAGCATTATGTGAACGAGAACTTTCAGACATCCAAACTGGGTTTAGAAAAGGCAGAGGAACCAGAGATCAAATTGCCCACATTTGCTGCAACATAGAGAAAGCAAGGGAATTTCAGAAAAACATATATCTCTGTTTCATTGACTATGCTAAAGCCTTTGACTGTGTGGATCATTAACGAACTGTGGAAAACTTTTTAAAGAGATGGGAATATCAGATAATCTTACCTGTCTCCTGAGAAACCTGTACGCCAGTCAAGAAGCAACAGTTAGAATTCTGTATGGAACAACTGATTGGTGCAGGACTGCAAAAGGAGTATGACAAGGCTGTTTATTGTCACCCTGCTTACTTACCTTATACACAGAGCACATCATGAGAAATGCTGGGCTGGATGAGTTACAAGCTGGAATCAAGACTGCCGGAAGAAGTATCAACAAACTCAGATATGCAGATGATACCACTCTAACGGCAGAAACTGAAGCAGAACTAAAGTACCTCTTGATGAGGGTTAAGGAGGACAGTGAAAAAGTCAGTTTAAATATTAAAAAAACTAAGATCACAGCATCCAGCCCCATCACTTCATGGCAAATAGAAGGGGAAAATGTAGAAGCAGTGACAGATTTCTTATTGGGCTCTAAAATCAATGTGGATGATTACTGCAGCCATGAAATTAGAAGACAACTGCTTCTTGGCAGGAAGGCTATGACAAACCTAGACAGTATGTTAAAAAGTAAAGACATCACTTTGCTGACAAAGGTCCATATAGTCTTTCCAGTGGTCACGTATGGTTGTGAGAGCTGAACCATAAAGAACGAAGAGTGCCAAAGAATTGATGCTTTCGAACTGTGGTGCTGGAAAAGATTCTTTTTTTTTTTGGAAAAGACTCTTGAGAGTCCCTTGGACAGCAAGGAGATCAAACTAGTTAATCTTAAAGGAAATCAACCCTGAATACTCACTCATTGGAAGGACTGATGCTGAAGCTGAAGCTCCAATATTTTGGCCACCTGATGTGAGCAGCCAACTCACTGGAAAAGACCCTGATGCTGGAAAAGATTGAAGGCAGAAGGAGAAGAGGGTGCCAGAGGATGAGATGGCTGGATGGCATCACCAAGTCAATGGACATGAACTTGGGCAAACTCCGAGAGATGGTGAGGGAGAGAGAAGCCTGGCATGCTATAGTCCGCGGGGATGCAGAGTTGGAGATGACTTAGCTACTGAACAACAACAATATGCAGTGGAAAGGGAGCTCCTGAGTGAATCAGGAAACATGGAATGAATAAATCAGGTTTCAGCTTGCTTTCTTAAACTATGCTCTGATGCTTTATTTTTGCTAGGTAAGACTGATGGTGGGGTGGGGCAGGTAGCTTAGATCAGATTCTTCATGGTCAACTTGCTTCAGGGGAGTGGATGACTAAGCCAGTGATTCCAAGTCCCTTACTCCAACTACAACCAGAGTTAGAGAGAGATTTTTTCCCCCCATTTGTTTTAAATACTGAAATTCTGCATTATGTTCAAAAGACAAATAAAGGTGGTTTCCTCTCTAAATAAAAAATATGAAAGCCCTTGAGCCAAACAATTGAACATTACTTCTAGCCATCTGTGATTACAACACCAAAGTTAGGTACAGATCTTTTGTTACAGTACTAGAAACAACTGCAAACATGGCTATTTTATCTTTATGACCTCATTTTTCTAGTCAAAGACTCTAATAAAATAAACTTATTTTGTCTTTCATAATTCCAGACTCTTCAGCCAATCTCAGATATTCAAAATTTATTAGAAAAATATTTAAATCTGAGACCTTTAGAAAAACATCTTAAGATATTATAGTAAACACCTAAAGTCCTATTCTTAAACATAAGGTATACTTACCAATGGTCAGGAAATCTGATTGGTACTGACAAGTCATTCCAAATCCAAAATCTCGCCAAAAGCCAGAATCCTTTTTGTGAACCTTAAGTTTAAAAAACAAAACTCAATTTAATCCCTCAAAAACCAGAAGTAGTTTCAATCAACGATGAAACAAATTAAAATATTTTCCAAATAATTTTTTCTATAAAAAAGGAATCATTTATGTGACTAATAATGGGATCACATGGCTTTATATTATTAAATCCTTATAAAAACCAACAAAAGTATAGTAATCCCCATGAGCATAGGATTCTTAACCGCCTTCAACTTAATCTGATTCAAGTCTTGTACAAGGTTCGAGCTGAGGTTACTAATAATCAAAGAGTGTGATGCTTGACCTCAGAGGGCTTACATTTTAGGAGGACACCAGTGGCGTAAGCACATACTGTAATACACCAATCACTTCTCCACAGCAGACCTCATTTGATGCATGGCCAGCATCCATTCCCCTACTCCCATTCCTAACTGTGTACAGTTTTGCTCAGTAATTACCTGGCCCCATGCAGCCCATGAGCTTCAGGGATGCTCCTTCCACTAGCAGCATCAGATAGGACTGCGAGCACTCTCCACCAGTGAGACAGTTTCATCCCACTCATTCACGAACTACTTCACTAACAGGCATTAGATAATGTTCAGGCCAACATGCTAAAATAAGATGCTTGTTGGGAACTTTGGAAAACAGAGAGCCCCCTCATTCTTCTGAGAGAGATACCAGAAAAGACACTTGCTCCCTTTGGATGGTACAGGACAGGAGTAAGCAAACTATAGCCTCCGGGCTACATCTGGCTGGCTACTGGCTTTGAACATCATTTTACTGTAACACAGGCACACTCATTTGCTTATGAATTGTCTTTGGGTGTTTTCATGGTACAATGACAGAGCTGAATAGTTGTAACAGGGATTTATGGCCCGCAAAACCTAAAATATTTCCTATGTGGCTCTTTACAGAGTAAGTTTATCAGCCTCTAGCATAGGGTATAAATATGAAGTCTGGAACTGCTGCAGTTTTTTCCCACCACGAGGGAAACCACCTTTAAAACGGAATAGTCACCACTGAAGTCCAAGCAGAGAAAGAAAAAAATCAGGGCTTTGATGATATTGGGCATGTAGAATCAAGTAAAAGTTGAAGCTTGATAGACCGCCTTTTAAAATTCACAATTCAGTGGGGACCCAGCCATGAACAGAGGTGACAGAGTCCCTGCTACCACAGAGCCTCCGTTTTGATGGGAAAATAGCGAATAAATAAATATAGGTCTCAGGTGGTGACACATGTTAGGAAGAAAGATGCCGTAGGCCAAAGAGAGAGCAAAACAGAAAGCCTATTTTAGATATAACAGCCACAAAAGGCCCGAGGAGGTCAAGTTTGGGCAGGGACCCTATTGAAATCAGGGAGTGAACAATGCAAATATCTGGAGATCATTCCAGGAGCATGTACCATAGCTCTGAGGTAGGAGCACATTTGGAGTGTTCGACAGTAAAGAAACAACTGTGGCAAGAGCTCAGAAAACAAGGGCAAGAAGAATGTGGCTCCAGGTCAAGAAAGAGCTATTACATTTTTCAGACCTAAGTGGTATTACAGTATTTTTGTAGGCTAATGGCGATGATCCAGAAGAGGCAAAATGTTAGGACACGAGAGAGTGAAGAAAGCTGCAGGGATGTCCTTGTTTAGACATCAGGAATGAGACATCTAGTTCACTATAGAAGGACGAGCTGGCCTTAGGAAGGGATGTGGGGAGTTCCTCCACTGGGACTGGAGAGAGAGGCTGAGGATGTGACAGGGCCAGTGAGGCCCATGGTCTCATGACAGGAGAATAAGGAAGTGAACGCTTGACTGCTTCTCCTTCCTAAGTGAAACAGGAAGCAGGATACACGGAGTGAGAAGTGGTGAGGGTTGCTGGGAGGCGTAGGACAGTGCGGCTGGACTGGAGGACAGAGTAAGGGGACTGGAGGCAGCCTGAGACCCAGAGGCCTGTGGTCAAGCGTTCAAAGTCGTTCTGTGCGGTGGGAGTGTGTTCCTCACTCTACCTGCTGCTGCTCTGCAGCCTGGCTGACAGAGGTGCCCTTAACTAGGCTGGGTTAGAAGACAAAACACTGGAAGGAGTGACGATGAAGGAGGTGAGCGTATAGCAGAGAAGAGGCTGTGGCTCATGACTGACCACAGAGTCTAGTCAGGTATGGAGGGAAGTGAGGATATGGCTGTGAGGAGGTGACAGAAAGGAGAGAGACTGATCCCTCACCCAAAGTGCAGCATTCTGAGATGGCTTTCTCAAGAAATGAAGTGAGAGCTGGGATCTGAGAGAGAAGCAAGAGTTAATCAAGTAAAAGAAGATATGCTGGGACAGAGTTTCAGGCAAGACAACAGTTTGTGCAAAGGCCTGAGGTGGGAGAGAGCACTGTGGGTGAAAAATGATGTGCCTAAACACTTCAGTCAGATGTATCGGTGCCCACGAATGTAGAGCAGGTCTCAGGAAACTTTGATAAAAACTAGATAGAAAATATTTTAGGGTCTGAAGAACACAGAATCTGTCTCAACTTTGCCAGTGTAGAGTGAAAGCAGTAATCAACAACAGTTAAAGAAACATGCTGTGTTCCAAAACACTTTAAGGCCACTGAAATTTGAATTTCATGAAATTTTCATGGCATGAAATATTATCCTTTTGAAAATATTTTTCATCCATTCTTAACTCCTGGGCCCTACAAAATTAGGCAGGAGGTCGGACTGCAGACTGCTGTCCTGACAAAGGGTATGTGACGGTTATCTCCCCCAAGAGTGGTAGCACCAGGAAAGGGTCAGCCCAGGAGGAATGATGTGGAGCAATGTTCTGGACATAATGAATTTGAGTGATCTACAGGGCAAACATGTGGAAATTCTTACGGATAGCAGGAATACAAGAATATACAGGTCTGTAGAGGCAGAGAAGGGTTAGGGGAGTTGAGAGTTTCAGGAGACAGTCTGAAAAAGCTGCTGTGCAGAATGAGAGAACAAACTGGAAAATAGAATGACCCAGGCAGTACTGAGGATCTGGCTCAAGTAGGAGCTAATAAATGAAACACAAACTTTCCTATTCCATTTGGGAGGTTGTGGGGGAGAAGGCAGCTTCTCTCCTGCTTCTAGTAGAATGTAAAACTTCCTGAGGGCAGGACCTTTTGCTAATTTTAATCAATTCTATATCTCTAGCACCTGGAACAATGCAAGGCACAGGATAGGCTTTCAATAAATATTTAAACGAATAAACAAACTTATAGAGGTATGACTTCTGTGGCAAAACCAAGATTAGGCTCTAATATTCTTATCTCTCCAGTCAAAAAATATATAATACATATAATCCTGGTGCAAAGTATTAAAACATCTACTCTGACATTTCTACCCTATGCCAATTCTGATTTAATAATATTATGAAAATTCTGCAAATATTAACAGACTTGGGGGAGTCATTGGCTTTGATTTTTAAATCGGCACATTTTCATGGAGGAAAGTAGAAGGAAACTCACATTATCCATAATCCCTGATTGTTAATATTTTACTGCATTTTGTTTTTACTCTTATTTTTCTCCTAAGCAAGTGGGGGATGCAGCTATCCACACATAAGCTACATCTCCAGCTCTCAGCCCCTCACGAACAATAGGTTCATAAATCCCCTGGCAACCCTGGCGTGTCCCCTCAGGCCACTAATAAGCAAGATGCACCTACCATGCTCAAACCGAAGTCCTATTCTCTCCTCTTCCAACTCCTGTCTCTCCCTCACTCCCCACATTCTAATCCAACAGCAAGTGCTATTTCTAAATCATACCTAAACCTTTCTCCACAGTTACCACCCTTGCCTAAGCCACAGCACCTCCTCGATCTACTGCAAAAGCCTAACTGGCTACTTGCAGCTGGAGCCACACACAATTCATTCTCCACAGAATCAAAGCTCCCAGGGCTGTCTATCACCCTTAGCATAAATTCAAACCTCTCACAGGGGTATAAACAGGCTCTCCATGACCTGGCCTTTGTGCTCCCTCACCCACTGTTCTCCAGTCACCTTAGGAAATCCACCAGCTATCTTTCTGTCTGGAACTGCCTTCCCCAGTCTCTGTGCAGCAGGTTCCTTCCTGTCATTCAGATGGCCCTCCAAAAGCCTCATCTCAGAGAGGCCTTTCTGACCAAACAGCACAGAAATGATCTCATCATTCTTCATAACTCAGACTCTTTCAATTATCAGCTGGTTATTTGCTACCTGTTTTTATTTTCTGTCTCTTCCTGCAAGACTAAACATTCTTATGAATAATAATCACATTTGTATGGATCTTGGGGTTCCAGTGGTGAATAATGGCTGGCACAGAATGGATACTCACTATTTAATGAATTAATATAACAGAGTGGAGACTATGAAGCCAACACTGCCCGGGCTCCTGGCGCCACCATGACGAGCTGTGCACTGGGGGAGGGGCACCCATTCATGCCTAGCTCTCTCTTCATTTAAAAAATATGGGTAATAATAGTGCCTACCTGAGAGACTGTTACAGGATTAAATGAATTAACATGCATAAAAAATAGAACAGTACCTTGCATGAAGAAAAATGTACATAAAAATACTAGATATTATAGTATTAAAATATCTATACACCATCTTCCATTTTTTAACCTTACATTTACTTCTACATTTATGCAGTTGTATTTATTTCCATTTCATGAACAATCTCCTCTTGACACATAACATTCACCACAGTATATTCTATAATTCAATCTGTCATTTTATTATTAGAGTTCTACTTGACTTGAATGTTGTCAAAGTTCTGCATATTGCTACTCTACACCTCTGATTATTTCCTCAGGAGAGACTCCTGCCATGGAAATTACTGGATCAGAGGGATGAACTTACCTGACAACTCTCAAACCAGAAAGTGCACCTGCATTCCCACACCACTGCAGGGATGGAACAGACCCTTACCCTGCCAGCCTCACTCATGTGACTGTTTTTTTAAAAAAGCGATTTAACAGCAGAAAAAATCATCACCTGTTATTTTAACTCATTTTTGTGAAGAATGACTATATCAAAC